AGATGTTATAAATGTTTAAAGTAATTAGTTCTGGCTACTGTTACATTTTGACTGACATCCTATAACAGGAATAAGTATTTTACTTTATTTCAGTTTTTCCTTTGTTAGGTGGATAAAACCTCAAATGTAAGATAGTATACGCTGCTTTTAATGCCATCTGTTTAGTTATTTCCGCTCAATCGAATTTTGTTTTTAAAATTCCACTTCCTTCTGAACACGTGAAGTTTTGTATGGTTTCAGTTAGATGAATACATTTCACATATAAGTAGAGCTCCACTTTCAGCGCTAAAGATACTTAAGTCTGATAAAAAAGAAGTAGAGTCCGTATGTTTCTTGACCTCGGGGTATGAAGTAGTATTCCTACATCCTTGCACACAAAACAGAATAGGGATAGTCATGCCACTTATCTGCGTAATCAATTAGAAATTATTTTTTCCTATTTATAATCTTTCGACTGATAAACCCCCCTTTGTTTAGGCATACTCGTGAAAACGAAAACTTTAATACAAATTTATACTTTAAAATAAAAAAACAAAGGTATTCTCTACGCAAGTTTTCGCCCACAAAAAAAACGTAACGTTTAAACTACAGTATTATTATATTTCAAACACTCGTTTTAGAATAATCTTGAAGATTGCAAAAATAAATGTATTGCTTTGATTGTCATTTTAAAAACACTGAAACAAGTCACTTTTAATAAAATGTGTTTTACAGTTAAAATAAACATTTAAAATGTTGGAAATAAAGTTTATTTTCCAAAACAAACAACTACTGATTTCGCCATAAACAATGCTTGTTCAGTAAAAAGGTTAATATTGTCAATTTTACATTGTTTGCATTTTCGACCTTATTTATATTAACATGAACTTTTTTTTCGCATGGATAATTTAAAAGTAGAATTTTAAAATGAAATAGAAGTTTAAACGTCCAATTTGTGCTATAACGTAATTTTTCAAAACATATATAACACGCCGCTACACTTAATATCAGTTAAAACAATACCGATTTTTTAAGGGTCTCTAAGACATACTTAACTAGTTGAGCCATTGATGTCATGAGTTATTTTGAGGTGGTTAATAATTCCAATCTCATATAATAAAATTCCCCCACCTATTTATAAATGTATTTCCATTTACGTGTAGCAATTTAAAACTTTGTATATAATATTTCCATTTACGTGTTGCATTATGAGAAAATTATAGCACATTTGGAATTAAGCCGAATTTAAAAAAAAAAAAAATGTATCTTTGATTCTCTGATGTTAAGTTAAAAATTCGTGTCTTCATAGATTGCACTAGCTTAGTGCCTTGCATCCTCCAAACAAACTTTACTATCTCACTTCAAAGCAGCTACGATGTGCATGATTTTATAATCCTACAAAGCACCATATTGCTATAATATATATATATATATATATATATATATATATATATATATATATATATATATATATATATATATATATATATATATATATATATATATATATATATATATATATATATATATATATATATATATATATATATATATACAGATTCACTTCACTTACTTCACATATTCTTTCGTTGAACTTGGGGAGCTAAGGGCAGCAACCACACCAATCGGGCTCAGTTTTGATCGGCTCCCTTTATTTGTTTAAATGTAAGCCCGCTAGGAATTCTCTATCCAGCCTACTTACGTCTCCCACATCCAGTCTAATGCTTTCCTCGCAATGTTCTGCCCCCCCCCCTCCCTGCGCTTTCTAATTAGCAAGCGGAAATCAAAACAACCTGTTTTCTTTGAACGTTGATGTGAAGTTTCACGGTCAGAGTTAGATTTGCATGATTACTCTTTAATCCATTACTTTCGGTGTCTATTTTTAAAATTCTGAATTGAGAATGTTAGTTAAGCCTTTAGACGACTTAAGCAATGTTGTTTCCAGTCGGAGTTAGCTTGATACGAAATTCAATGTCTGCTTACTTTGAGGATAGAAGGGATGGAAATTGTCAATACAAGTAAATATATGCTCTTTATATCATTTTAATAGATGTATAAGGTTAATCTTGTTTTGCGCACAGTCCGCTGAAATCTTCGAGAATGTTCTATGTCCACAAGACATCATCAATTTTGCCACTCACATTTTCCCATTTGTTTCCAAGACACATGGTGCATGGTGAAGTAGAGTTCATTTGCTTCAGAGACCTCGTCAAAAAGAGGGGATAGTGTGGTCAGCATTATGCCCAGCCGACTTTGTTTCCTTAACATGAGTTAGGAACTCATCGAAGCTGGGTGGACTCAGTGACATTCTACTGACTTGTCCCCGGATTCGAACATTGAGACTTTCGGGTTAGCAGTCTGGGTCTCTATCATAGGAGGGAGCGAGCATTATCTGCCAGAAGGTTTGAACTCGAGACTTTTTTCGAATTTATCAACCATGAGCTTTGCCGACTCGACCATGCTTCCATCACAATTAAGGATACGTGAGGCCATTGACTCCGATTACAGCCTGCTTTTCTTTTTGGATTTGCTTCCCTAGCCTTTGTCCAACCAAGAACAAACTACAAGGCAGCAGTTGTTTAATTTTGGAGTTGTCTCTCCTAGAAGAGTGGCTGTCCCCAGCAAACGAGCCTCATCTGCCCGAGGGTTCGAACTCGTGACTTTCCGGTTTAGCATGAGCTTTACCGAAACGACCACGCCGACCCCCGGTTATCAATTCGAAACTTGGGGTCCCAGCAATCGAAATCTTTTATATCATTTATAGTTTCAATATTTGAGACTGTTATTTTTTATTGCTAAGAAATGTATTATGTTTTGTGAGAAAATATAAAATAACACATTTTTGTATTTGATTTTTGTGTATATATATATATTTTATTTAACGTTAAAGTTTTTTAATCGGTTTCGTTTCTTATTCAACTTTGGAGAGCTTATTCATTTTGATCATTGTCTGTTTTTTCATTTAATTCACTTTTTCTGAAAACAACAGCAAGCATGTAAATAAATAATGATAATTTATATATAGGGCCTAATTATGCAGAAATTATTTATTATTTTTGTCTAAGGTATGTAATTGATATGAAATTTAATCTCACCTAGTTGCGAAACAAATAAGAATAGCGGAAACAATGGCTCCAACAATACATGCAAAAATTAAGATTTTTTTTCCAAAATTAAATAAACTATTATCTCTTTGTGGAATTAAGTAAGAAGAGGCTATTGCAGGATTCGAAAGGTTTTTGTGATGACTGATTGGTTTGTTGATAGCTAATCAAAGAAAAAAAGATAAAAAAAAAATTATAAATTATACTAAATATATAACAAAGTAACACACACACATCCACACACGCATATATATATATATATATATATATATATATATATATATATATATATATATATATATATATATATATATATATATAGGATAGGTTAGGTTATTTTAGGTCAGGTCAGGTCAGGTCAGGTCAGGTTAGGTTAGGTAGGGTCGGCTAAAGTAAAGTTGGGTTATTTTAGGACAGGTTAGGTCAGGTTAGGCTAGGGTTGGTCAGGTTCGGTCAGGTTAGGTCAGGTTCGGTCAGGTTAGGTCAGGGTAGGTCAGGTTAGATCAGGTTAGGTCAGGTTTGGTCAGGTTAGGTCAAGGGCTAGGGTAGGTGAGGTCAGGTTAGGTTAGGTTAGGTTAGGTTAGGTTAGGTTAGGTTAGGTTAGGTTAGGTTAGGTTAGGTTAGGTTAGGTTAGGTTAGGTTAGGTTAGGTTAGGTTAGGTTAGGTTAGGTTAGGTTAGGTTAGGTTAGGTTAGGGTAGGGTAGGGTAGGTTAGGGTAGGTTAGGTTAGGTTAGGTTAGGTTAGGTTAGGTTAGGTTAGGGTAGGTTAGGTTAGGTTAGGTTAGGTTAGGTCAGGTCAGGTCAGGTCAGGTCAGGTCAGGTCAGGTCAGGCCAGGTCAGATCAGATCAGGTCAAGTCCGGCTAGGAGAGGTTAGGTCAGGTTCGGTCAGGTTCGGTCAGGTTAGGTCAGGTTAGGTCAGGTTAGGTCAGGTTAGGTTAGGTTAGGTTAGGTTAGGTTAGGTTAGGTTAGGTTAGGTAGGGTCGGCAAAAGTAAGGTTGGGTTATTTTAGGTCAGGTTAGCTCAGGTTAGGCTAGGGTTGATCAGGTTCGGTCAGGTTAGGTCAGGTTAGATCAGGTTCGGTCAGGTTAGGTCAGGGTAGGTCAGGGTAGGACAGGTTAGATCAGGTTAGGTCAGGTTTGGTCAGGTTAGGTCAGGGGCTAGGGTAGGTCAGGTCAGGTCAGGTCAGGTCAGGTCAGGTCAGGTTAGGTTAGGTTAAGTTAGGTTAGGTTAGGTTAGGTTAGGTTAGGTTAGGTTAGGTTAGGTTAGGTTAGGTTAGGTTAGGTTAGATTAGGTTAGGTTAGGTTAGGTTAGGTTAGGTTAGGTTAGGTTAGGTTAGGTTAGGTTAGGTTAGGTTAGGTTAGGTTAGGTTAGGGTAGGTTAGGGTAGGTTAGGTTAGGTTAGGTCAGGTCAGGTCAGGTCAGGTCAGGCCAGGCCAGGCCAGGCCGGGTCAGGTCAGGTCAGGTCAGGTCAGGTCAGGTCATGTAAGGTCAGGTCAGATCAGATCAGATCAGGTCAAGTCCGGCTAGGAGAGGTTAGGTCAGTTTAGGTCAGGTTCGGTCAGGTTAGGTAGGTTAGGTCAGGTTAGGTTAGGTTAGGTTAGATTAGATTAGGTTAGGTTAGGTTAGGTTAGGTCAGGTCAGGTCAGGTCAGTTCAGGTCAGGTCAGGTCAGGTCAGGTCAGGTCAGGTCAGGTCAGGTCAGGTTAGGTCAGGTTAGGTTAGGTTAGGTTAGGTTAGGTTAGGTTAGGTTAGGTTAGGTTAGGTTAGGTTAGGTTAGGTTAGGTTAGGTTAGGTTAGGTTAGGTTAGGTTAGGTTAGGTTAGGTTAGGTTAGGTTAGGTTAGATCAGGTTAGGTTAGGTTAGGTCAGGTTAGGTTCAGTCAGGTCAGGTAAGCTTAGGTTAGGTTCCAGAGAAGACCAACTACAAATAATAAGCACGAAGTTTCATTATACCGTACTTACAGTCCATGCAGTAATCTCCTGTTCTCTTCTGTACACATTTTTTGCAAACTCCATTAAATTGACAATCCTGATCAGCACAGGTTATGCTACAAATGTCTTCACAGTTTATACCGTACCTCCTCTTTGTACAATCTGAAATTAATTGAAATTAATTAGTGTTAGTGTTAATTATTTCTATCCAGCGATTTTTAACAACAATATAACCAGGGAAGCAGACACAACTAAAATAAATTCATAATAGAATGTGGCCGTCTCTTTTTATTTTATTTTAATTTTAACACGTTTTTATTAACTCAGCTTCGCGTTTGTGTGTTTGTTGTTAAAATTGACATCGAAAATTAGCCCACTTCTGATTGCTCTATAGATCTGAAATTTGGCATGCAGGTTACTTTCGCCTAACAATTTCAGATGCAATCATAAAAACTAGCAATTAGAGACCGTAATTAGCTTAATTTAATTACGCCCCAAGGACCATAAAATTGAGGACATGATTTCTAAAGATACCGACAAGACTGGAGGCTTATTGACACAGTTACTTCGGCCCCAATCGATGTGAGCGCGCTGGCCGTGATCGTATAGTGGTTAGTACTTCGCGTTGTGGCCGCGACAACCCAGGTTCGAATCCTGGTCGCTCAAGATTTTTTTAGTCCGTGTATTTATAAACACTTAGTCAATTCATACTTAATCAAGTCATTAGATAAAGTAGAAAATAAACTATATAAAAAACTTTTTTAAAAACCACGTTTTTCATGTGTAGCAACGGACTAAAAAGGAGAAAATAAAATACTTAAAAAAAACTTTTTAAAAAACCACGTTTTTCTTGTGGACTAAAAAGTAGAAAATAACTATTTACATACATTTGATGACAAAAAACGTGGGTCGGGCAGATGGGTCGGGAAATTTGATGGTGAACGTACCCACGTTTTTTTGTCATCAAATGTATGTAAATAGTTATTTTCTACTTTTTAGTCCACAAGAAAAACGTGGTTTTTTAAAAAGTTTTTTTTAAGTATTTTATTTATCAGTTTTTGTTAACTTTGAAACTAAATTTCGAGTCACTTCTAATGCATCGTGTTCCAGACATTTTTGTCTTTGAAGTAAAGTAAAAGTTTCCCTTTCAAACCTGATGGTCTATGGGGCAAGTGAAATAGAGTTCACTTGTTTTTGTGACCTCTGCATATGAGCATATGAAGAAATAGTGTGGTCTTTTACTTTCCCTAACGTGAGTTAGGTACCCATCAGGTCTACTCAGAGACGGTCTACTGACTTGGACCCGGATTCGAACTCGAGACTTACGGGTTAGCAGTCACGGGTTAGCAGTCCAGCTCTCTACCGCTAAACCACTCCGTCCCTTTGTCTTTGAAGATTAATGTAAAATATATATAAATTGATAATCTATTTAAAGTTGAATTAATTAAAAAAACATGCATTTACATATTAATTTATTTAATAGATAACACATCGATCAAAAAGGCGTTAAATAGTTTAGTTAATTGGATATTTGTGGCTACTGATCGCGTTTAACATTAAATAATTTTAGTCTAATATCGTGCTAACCTTATTAAGAATGTATTAATAAAAAGTAAAGAATAAAACAACCATCAAAGCCTTTGGAATAATTATCGCTCGAAGTAAGACTTCGGAAAATAAAACACTTAATAAGGAGTATTTATTTATTTTGGCGAATATAAGCTACGATACTTAATGGAAAATATTGTTATGCATCTCGGACTCTTCTTAACATATGGTTTCCATTGCAACGGCGGCCATAATGGAAAACAAAACAAAAAGTAACTTGTGTTGATGTCTTAAGTTTAAAAGCTAACGTATATCTTGATAACATAATCATTGATCCTTATTTTACTAACTCTAACAAAGACAGATTGCAATTGTTTGTAACAGAAAAAAAATTATAGAAATAGTTTAAAAATTGTGTATGGTGAAATACCATTACAATCAGCAATTACATTTAAACTTACTTTCTCTATTCGTCGCTAATGAAATATGTATACGTTAGATTGACCAAGTATATTTTGAAATCAAGTTATTATTTCTTTTGTGATAGCGTTTTTTACTGTACACGAATATACAATTTTTAATCGAATTACATACAAGTTAGTCTTTTATTTAATTTTGATTTCAAATACTGTATTAAATAATAACATGGAAGATAACACGAAAAAAAAACAACTAGCGTTCGCGTGATCTAAGATAAACTCTTTTTAGTTTACAGTTACATATTTACATTCTCGAATACAGAGTATAGAGTAAGTAGTGTATTCGTGCACAAAAATCTCATGAAATTTAGACAGTTTTCGCCGTTTCACACCTCAGTACATAATTATATACAGTAATTATGTAATCGAGTCGGAAAAATGGGGTTTTGCGATTCTCTCCACGTGTGTGTATGTGTGTCTGTGAACACGATAACTTGAGAACCGTTAAAGCTAGGTTGAAGAAATTTCATATAGAGTCTATAAGTATTATATCAAATTTAAAGTTCTGTATCAACTTTTCAGTGATTTCAGATAACCAAGTTTATTTTTTTTTAAAAGCCTATAACTTGAATACTGTTTCAGATAGATATAGGCAATTTCAGACGTAAGTAAAAGATCTAGTCCTCTGCATTCTGTCAAATTTTGAGTAATTTCCGTTGAAAGAAAATAGTAATTTACGCTATTTCTGATTTCTCAAAAACGCAACTTTATTTATAAAGTACTAATAATATTCCGCACTATTATACACACAATGTTTACTTGGTGCGCAATTATTTTTTTCTACGAGATTCTATTCTCTTTTAAGTAGTTTAAGTAATTAAAAATTAATTAAAAATTATGTCTATATCCCAAGTTGCAATCCTCCGTAGTGTTATTTAAGAATATTCGAGAAAGTTTAGGGGTGATCATTCCCGGTTTAGTTTGGTCTAATCACTGAGAATATTGAGCAGAACATCAAAGTAAGCAAAACGTGATTTGCTTTATTTAATATTGTTCTAAAATTATTGAAAATATATTCTAAAATATAGAAAATTATGGATTGCTTTCTAATAAATTAATGCCAATAATGTTTAAAAATCATACAGTGTAAAAACAAAACCTATAAAAAATAACTTTATCGAGATAACAGCTAACTTAGCCTGCTCATTGCCTCGCTGTGTATTTAAATACGGAGAAATCTAGCAGACGACACATTTCTGCTGAACGGCAGTGAACGGTCAATCGCGTCACAAAAACACTAAAAAGCTAACCCACGGTGTCACTGAAAATCACCCTTATAATCGTAGCTATTTAAAAATAAACGCGTTTTTTTCACAAACCATTTACTAGGCTACCGATTAAATTTGATAAATGAAATTGATATCAAAGTAAAGGTAAATAAATGTAGTTTTTAATTGTTTAATTGTTTAAGTCATTTTGAACAATAATTAAGTTTAAAATCTTAGGCGAAACCCTAGTTTAAGTACTGTGCTTTGTCACCTTTCCTTGATGTGATTCAGGTACTCATTTCAGCATTACATAACTCAAAAACGTCGTACGACTTTGAGCCGTGGATTTATTCTCTAGACTTTCGCTTTAGAAATATCGCGCCCTACCGTTATATTCTGTATACGTATTTTTTAAATTCAAAACTAATATAACTAATATATGACGTATCAACAACAAATAATTAAAGAGAATAAACAGTTATTTAGAAAGAATATTTTACCTCCGAATGCCTGAATTTCTGATAAATGTAGCTCGCTGTTTGAATTTAAAACAACATCAGCAACGTTTCCACTATCTGGTATGTTGATTACATAAACAGTTGCGAAATAATTAACTACTTTAGTAAATTCCACCTCATCTTCAAAGTTGTGAAGCTCAACTTTAAAGTCTTCCATCTGAAGTGTTGAATTTTCTTAAAATATAAAAATAATTTGTTTATAATTATAGCTAAGCAGACAACCTAAATTATAACAAAATGTATTCCAGGTATTTCTAGAAGTCATATAATTTGTCATTAATCATGATTAAAATGTTAATTTTGAAATGGTTGAATGTATCTGCTTTGCTCAAAAATAGCATAATAAAGACATTTATTATGCATTATTTTTAATCAGGTATAAAAATTTGAAAATACGTTACTGATTTTGTAAAATCTTTAAAAAAGATTGAGCGACTTCAAAGTATAAACATTTAATCGGTTTTTAATTGTAATTTTCTTGACATTAAGCCTACGCGAAAATGCTTTGCTTTGCGGTCAAACTACATAGTTGATGGGACTTAGATTAAAATTAGTGTTTACTTATAACTACATTTTCTTTCAGTGAACATAGTGTGTAAAAACTAGAAGCTGTCGCGAGCACGTATACAAATGGTCAGCTGGCTACTTATTTCTAAATGCGTATTATTTTCGACAAATAACTAATTCTAGCAAGAATTATTATTATTATATTTGCATAATGAAAAGAACTTATTTTTTGAATGAACAGTGGCAAGGAAGTAATGCTTAAGTTTTAAAAACAAAAATTATTAAGAATAATAACAGCTATAATAAATAGATTTTTGCCTATTACAAACAAATTTAGAGAATAAAAGAAATAAGAATATTGTTTGTAGAGAAGTATAATACACACATGGTAACCATCTTTAGTGAAAAAAAGTTATTTATGAATCAAATTCATTTTAAAACCTCCTCACACAAAAAAACCTATTACCTTTTACCGTAGCACTTATTGTATAAATGTGAGGTTATGTTAGTTTCTATTTTTAGAAATTATAAAATATTTTTGTCTGTTGGCTTTTAATCAAGATGCTTCTGTTTCCTCGATTTTAATCCATCTGCTGTTACTACATAGGTTTTCTAATAGTAATTAACACATTCATTAAAAAATAAAACTAAGGCAGATAATTTCATATTAAAAATTGACATTTCGTCAAATGTTTTAAAAATTTAATTTACTTTAGAATAAAACTAAAGGTGTCAAATTGTGTCGGTTAATAAATATAATTGATTGAAATAAATTTTAATCCTTACCGCAAGTATATACCAATATTTGTTTAATAGTTCTCGGCCACTGAAATGCAAATTTCAAGGAAGTTTGTTCTTTCACATAAAAGCAGTCTCCGTCGTCAAAACTATCATCTAATGCGATTTTGTGAAATTCAGCCTCCGACAATTCCGTTTGAATGCCAAAAGAGAACAAACTTACTTTTGATTCTTTCAAAACATTTCGCCCTGTTCAAATATTAACGACTTGTAATTTAATACTAACATTTCTTGTCGAAATTAAATAAAACACAATTCATCTTATATAATTAGTATAGTAATCAGAAAATTATGTTTTGAAACTGTACTTACCACCATTTACTCTAACTCGACAAATGGTTACAAATACATTCAGTAGAATTCTGTTCTCTATAATTAATTCATTTGTAAGGCATTCGATTGTAAACGTCGTTTTACCAGTCCAATATATTTTAGGACGTAAGCATTCTTGCTCAACACCGCCCGGTAATTTATACATATATGTTGCATTCAAATTAGTAACTGAAAAAATTAAATTGAATAGATAAATATGAGGAGTGTATATTAAAGCAACTATGAAATTGCAATTGCTGTTATATTCCTAACATTATTATAATACTAAAATATTATTTTCTAAGATTTTAAGACAATTATTAAAAATGATATTTTTAAAATAATTTCGCAGCGAATAAAAGGTGATCAATAAAATGAGAAACGGCAAACTGCACAACGGAAAACTGCAGAAATAATATATTTAATTAAAATTATTAAAAAGAAAAAAAAGATTACTTATAGTTAGTAACATCGTAAATGATTTGTTCAGGAAATGTTACAAAATAAACTGTATTAGTATAATTAGTTTGTAATGGCGCAATGTTGTGCTCTCGCAGTTTCCGGTTGCGCATTGTTTTCATTTTCGCATTTTACTGGCAACTCTCAAACACCGATCTTCACTCCACCCAACTGCCTCCTCTAAAATACAGCAACATTAACTCTACAACACTATACATAATACAGTACATAATAAAACACAAAACCACCATTACAATCTAAAACATCCCAACACACTCAACTCCGAACAACACAACATGTAATTAGTAAGATTCCAAGATATTGTAACACAAGCTTGTTATCAGTGATGTAACGAATTCATATATCTGATATACAGCGGTTCTTAAGTTTTTTTCGGGGTATCGAAACCCACCAGCGCAATATACTAATTCACAGAACCCTTCTTGCTAAGAACCATGTTTTTTTTTTTTTTCATTTCAAAACATCGATTTATAATTTATTAGTGCTGGAAATAGACCGTTCACCAATATCACTGTGTGATTTTTCCCAAAAAAGCAAAAACTTAATAAATAATATTTACTGCAAATCCGTTTCACTTCTCCTTTTGCCTTTCAGACACATGTTAAAAAATGGAAGGCTTCGCCTTTAAATTGGCGAACATTGTCTTGTATTTTTCAACTCCATGCAACTAGTTAAATTGTTCTCATAGTTTTGCAGCTACTAGACTAGAATGGCTCACTTTGGCATTGCAAAAGGTACCCATTACATTCCAACACCTTCTGTTTGCTCGACACAGTATTAAGTGATTAAATATTAAGAAGAAAATCACAAAACGGGCAGTGACAAAAATTACAAGTCAAATACTGAGCCACGATATGGACAGAACAAAAAGGTTCATTACAGCTCGTATTTACACGATAAAATCGCGACTGTATAGGTGGCGTTGACACAGTTAGTGATGTGTGTGTCGTGGCGTCAATGTTATTAATATAGAAATATGACGATAGTGATAATTGTTATCTTGATTTGGCGCACTATATTACTACTAGGCATGCTGCCCAGCTTCGCTTAGGCTTTCGAAAACATTGAGAATTTGAATGCTTAATTAATTCGCCCGAGGGTCGGTCTACGACGTCAGGAGTTATGAAGAGGTTCCTCCGTGGACATTTTTTTTTCGATTTATAGCTCATATAAGGCGCCGGTCAGTCGAGGTCAGTTTTGACCCCATCATCGTAGACTTCTCGGCCAACCGGCCCCCGTGTTCTGTCGCCCCAAGGCAAGATCCTGCCAAATTTGAAGCGCCTGCGGCGCTGGGAAGTGCCCTAACGGGCACCCGACAACTTTGCTATATATATTATAGAGATTAGCAAATTCCATTGATAAACAAAGATTTCAATAAAGTCAGGCCTGAAATACTTTAGTATAGAAATGTATTATTTGAATAGATGAATCTAGAATATCTAGATCTAGAATCGAAATAAATAAAATAAATTTTTTGAGTTTAGGCCGGAAAAATTGTATTGTATACATTTTATAGTGTACGTAGATCTAGATCTAAATCAAATTTGAATGAAATAGTTCATTTCTTTTTATTCTAAACACGGCAGATGACGTCATTAGTTAATGTATAAGCAATAGTGACGTCACAGTTTTATGCGTTCTTTTTCACATATATTAGTGCTTTTCCGGTTGCATAAATAATGCTGTTTCTCTACATTCGAATACGCCTTTATTTTTTTATTTTTCTTCTTTAAATAAAATTGTGGTTATACATTTAAAACATCTAACATATTATTTTCAACAAAAGTCCCTATAAAGTTCTCCATATATCGCTGCCGTTTCTGACGTGATGTCCGGCGAAAATATTGTGCGGACAGACAGAGAGAGAGAGAGAGAGAGAGAGAGAGAGAGAGAGAGAGAGAGAGAGGTGCGAACGTGGGGTTTTATATATTAGGATACAGTTTTGGAGCGCTGTCGTATTTGATCTGTAATCGGTCGTGGCCGCTAGTTCTATAGTCCGCACTGACGAAATTCAATCGCATTTATACTGAGTCAAGTGTGTCGCTAGACCTCAGCCATTAGAATGACTCTAGGGTTCGATCAAACCCAGTTTAAGAACCACTGATCTAACAGAGCCAGGTTTAGCGATGCACTATAGTGGGGAACCCATTTATCTAACTGCTGGAAAGGTGGTTGAGAGACTTGTTTTTTTTCTAAATGTTTTTTTATTAAAATAAATAAGTAAAATATGTGAAGCAAAGTCTTACTAAAATTGATATTGAAAACCTACCATTTGAATCTAATAAAATCGTTATTGAAAAAAAAGATATTTCTGTTGAAAACTCTACAAGGATATAATTGGTGGAAGTACATGTCTCGCTACTAAGCGACGTGGGTGGATGTATCTTGCTCGCTTGAAATGACAAATCTCCTGGAACATATATATTTATAAGCATATATATATAAGCATATATATATATATATATATATATATATATATATATATATATATATATATATATATATATATATATATATATATATATATATATATATATATATATATATATATATAAAATGCCCGAAAGAAAGCTTGTCCATATTCGACACACGCACAGAAGCCACATACTATTCGTCTTAATGGACAATCTCAAAGTAAGTTTTCACCTTTAAAACAAATGTCTGTGTATACAAATTCAACATGTAAACAGTGGCAATGACTATAGATAATAGAGTTTCTAATTTATGTCATCCCCCTCGTATTTTGCAGAATGGCGTTATTTTGCGCACACATTATTGTAATCCACCGATTAATTCAATTGTAAAAAAGCAACGTTGTCACAGTTTAATGGGGATCACTCCCACCCCATTCATTGATTGACTCATAAGTTATTAAAATTATTCAACTAAACTTTTATTTCTCTATACATTTTGCAGTTGGTGTTCCATCACCCCCTTCCACCTTGTCGTGTGCGTCAATATTTGACTTGAAATTCTCTTAATTTTAATAAAGCATTCACGGTACTTGCAAAAAGCTTATTCGTTTCAACATATTTTTCAATGATTTTGTCTTAGTTGCAACCCCCACCCCCCCCCCCCACCCCCCACCCCCCCCCCACCCCCCCCCCCCACCCCTTATTGTTGTCACTCGGTGCAGTCCGCATCACTGACGGTGGTCTTGGGAAACTGACTGAGGGTAATGAGTACCGTCTAGCGCTGCTTTCTTATGGGCACCACAAAGCAAGTGAAAACGTGGGAAGGCGAAAAGAAACAAGAGATCACCAACGAACAGAGGCGTAGCGAGGGGGGGGGGATGAGGACCCCACCGGGTGACACCATTTAGGGGTGGGGGTGACACCAAGGCAAAAAATAGCTAAATATATATAGAAAAACTTGAGGGGGGTGCTAATCGAAAGTTTGAGGGGCGGGGGGGGGGATGCAAATCGAAAATTTGAAAGTTTGTCCCCGGGAAGGGTCGCTATGCCTCTGCGGGGTGACACCATTAAGTGCCGCACCGGGTGACACCCGACCTCGCTACGCCACTGTCAACGAAGAAATGGTTATGGAAGAGAGGCCTGGAATTCGAACAACAGAATGTCATTCTTTCAGACATTTTTTCTCTTTTTCGTATAAGGGGTTTAACAATGAGCAAGCGGTAGAGTAAAACTTCAAAGCTTATTTTTTAAAACTAAAGCGTTACAAATAATGTGTCAGCGAATGAAATACTTACTGTAATTACATTTCGGACCAAACTGATCCACAAAACATCCTGCCTCATCAGTTTTATCTTGAAATAAGATATATTTTAATTACCATGCCATACACTATATTATCCTATACTACACGGGAATACACAAGCCTACAACACTAGCCTGACTACAATTGACTAGATTTGACTGGACTGGACATTAAAAGATAAGACGGGACACGACGAGGCTAGTTTAGGCTCGATTAGGATAGGCAGGCTAAGGCTAAGGCTAAGGCTAAGGCTAAGGCTAAGGCTAAGGTTAAGGTTAAGGTTAAGACAAGGCAAGGCTAAGCTAAACTACTCTATGCCACCACACTACACTATGCTACACAATATTAGACTACAATATACTACAGTAGGCCTATATATATATATATATATATATATATATATATATATATATATATATATATATATATATATATATATATATATATATATATATTAGCACACACACACACACACACACATATATATATATATATATATATATATATATATATATATATATATATATATATATATATATATATAAGTATAAATGTGTGTGTGTGTGTTTGTGCGAGTGTATTTATACGTTTCAAATTTTACTTGTGCATATTCCAGCTGTTGTCCAGTCGCGGTCATCTTGACATCTCGTGGTTCTAGTACTTTCGCGTCTAAAGCCTTTATCACACACGAGAAAACACGTCTCGGTGTCTGTTTCGGTATACGTACATGACATCCATCTACCGTTCTGTACTTCCAGTTTCGTTATACACTGAGTAGCTAGAAAGATATTAACTATTAAAGCATTATGTATTATATATTGTAATCGTTTTATTCTTTTCAGTGTGTTTTTGTCGCCATGTTAGTTAAGATAAATTGTTTACACAATTAATACACGCCATACGTAGGTTTTGATTAATGACGTGTATTATCCTCCGTTTTTAAACGTGTTTGCATTACAACATTAGCATAATATTAAAAAGCTGCGAATGTTTATTTATATTTTTTTATTACTCTTACTCTTTTTTATTACTGCTTTCTCTGGGCGGGGTGGGGGTGGGGGGGAGGCAAGGGACGGGGTAGTGTCGAATACACAAATTATGAATTGTTGATAAGTAGAAAATCAAACAAGTAGATAGCGGCGAATGCAACATCGTGGGTCAGCTCGTTTTATGTATTAGACATTTGGGCTAGGGCGAAACACCTAAAAGCAATGCCTAAAAGGAATTCTGCGAAAATCTATAGAGATGATGTTGTTGCATCGTAAGGCTTCTTTTTCTTCGTTCTTAATTTTAGTAATTTAAAAGATCAGCCTTATCTGCCAGAGGGTTTGAACGCGAGACTTTTTCGAATTTATCAGCATAAGCTGTGCAGGCTCAACCACGCTTCCATCACAATTAAGGATTACGTGTCGACTGGTTATGCGCCATTGAGGCCATTGACTCCGATTTTTGCCTGCTTTTCTTTTTGGATTTGCTTTCATAGCCTTTGTCCAAACAAGAACAAACTACAAGCCAGCAGAGGCGTAGCGACCCTTCCCGGCGCCCGGGGACAAACTTTCCGACTTGCACCCCCCGCCCTCAAGATTTCGATGTGCACCCCTCAAGATATCGATTTCCACCCCCCCCCCCTCAAACTTTCGATTTGCCCCCCTCCCCCCAAACTTTCAATTTATTTTTCTAACCTATTTTGGCGCCCCCTAAGGTCGGCGCCCGGGGACATATGTCCCCCCCCCCCTTCGCTACGCTACTGCAAGCCAGCAGTTGTTTGATTTTGGAGTTGTCATCCTAACACAATGGTGGGGAATGCAGTAGAATAAAAATCTAACCTTTGCTGTCCAATAAAAATCTAACCTTTGCTGTCAAATAAAAATCGGTATAATTTAGAGATAATTTGTAATAAATACGTGTTGCCTCATTGTGTGAAATACGAACCGTTTTGACAATTAAGACCATTCCGACCCTCGGAGCAAACTGTTTATGTGTTTTCTATGTGAAAACATATTTTTTATACCGGACCGTATCGTACACTAGAATATACAGTATTATAGTAGAACACTAGAGACTGCACAAGACTGTCACATTTGCATGTTTATCCATACCCAACTTCACTTAACAAGCAATACACATATAAAAACACATATAAAAACGTCACACGCACATACACAAAAATATAATACAAAGACATGCAGGCCTATCTAGTTCATTTAATAACAAATCTAATATATATGTGTATATATATATATATATATATATATATATATATATATATATATATATATATATATATATATACATATAGATTTAAAATTGTACCATTGCATATTCCGGGATATGTCCAATTGCCATCAGCTTGACATGTTATGGAAGTACTACCTTCACTTGCAAACCCAGTATTACAATCCATCTCACAGCGCGTATTGTTTTCTCTGGTACATGGTAACCATCTGCCGTTTGGAACTGCAGGCGGCTGTTCACATTTTAGAGCTTCACTGACATTAGCTATAACATAAATTCATATCCCCATCATCAGCGCGGCTTAAAATAATCTCTACCTCTGAACAGTTTTAGCGCTTTTATTGAAAACAAATTAATTATACTATTCACAAATTATCGTAAAGAAAAAAATACAGTAGATATTGCTAGAAAAGACTATACCAAAGCAGACTGCATTTATTAAACTATACTAGACTAATTTTAAACTACTCTCGGCTACACTCGATTACACTAAAATAAACTAGACGGAACAAAATAATATAATATTACATGGCGTACACTAGACTAGATGACTAGATGTTATTGGAAAAAAATGCACTAATTATATTACTTTACTCTTGACTACACTTTACTAAACTACACTGCAATACACAATCTTCTGTTCTTCTGCTGCGTTCTTAATTTAAGTTATTTTGGAGGATTCACTCAACAGACACGCATTTGCACAAAAATAAAATTCAAAGACATGCAGGCCTGTCTAATTAATTAAATAACAACTCTAATATATATGCACACACACACACACATACACATACACACACACAGACACACACACATATATATATATATATATATATATATATATATATATATATATATATATTTATATATATATATATATATATATATATATATATATATACATAGATTTAAAATTGTACCATTGCATCTTCCGGGAGATGTCCAATTGCCATCAGCTTGACATGTTATGGAGGTACTACCTTCACTTGTAAACCCAGTATTACACTCCATCTCACAGCGCGTATTGTGTTCTCTGGTACATGGTAACCATCTGCCGTTTGGAACTACAGGCGGCTGTTCACATTTTAGAGCTTCACTGACAGTAGCTATAACATAAATTCATATCCCCATTAATAGCTCGGTTTAAAATAATCTCTACCATTTAGATAATATGCTAACCTCTGAACAGTATAAGGGCTTTTATTGAAAACATATTAATTATGTTATACCAAAATTATCGTACACAAAAAAAACAATATATATATTACTAGAAATAGACTAAAACAAACGAGACTGCATTAATTAAACTATCTAGACTAATTTAAAATACTCTTGGCTACACTAAAGTACACTAACATAAACTAGAAGGAACAAAATAATATAATACTACATGGCTTACACTAGACTAGATGAGACGGGAAAAAAATGCACTAGTGATATTACTTTACTCTTTACTACACTTTACTAAACTACACTGCAATACACAATCTTCTGTTCTTAGTAGCGTAGCGAGGTCGGGTGTCACCCGGTGCGGCACTTAATGGTGTCACCCCCGCCCCAGAGGCGCAGCGACACTTCCCGGGGACAAACTTTCAAACTTTCGATTTGCACCCCCCCCCTCTAATTTTCGATTTGCACCACCCCTCGAACTTTTGATTTGTACGCCCTCTCCAGTTCAAGTTTTTCTCTATATATTTTGCTCTTTTTTTGCCTTGGTGTCACCCCCGTAAATGGTGTCACCCGGTGCGGTCCGCACCCCCCCCGCCCCCCCCCCCTCACTACGCCTCTGTCTGATCTTCTTCTGCGTTCTTAATTTAGGTTATTGTGGAGGATTTACTCAACAATGCCAACATCGTGTATAAACTGGACTGTTGTCTTTAGATCCATATCGTTTTTCGTTGAGTGGGTTGAATAGGGGCTAGTGTTTGGATCGCGCCTGGCGATAAAGGAACTGACCGGAAGGACGTTCTCTGTATTATCCGTGGCCATGTCACATTGGCAACTTTATCCATACCCAACTTCACTTAAAAAGCAATAAACATATAAAAACACATATAAACCAGACACACACATACACAAAAATAAAATACAAAAATAAAATAAACTTGCAGGCCTGTCTAATTAATTAAATAACAACTCTATAATATATGTACACACACACACACACACACACACACACACATATATATATATATATATATATATATATATATATATATATATATATATATATATATATATATATATACATACATATAGATTTAAAATTGTACCATTGCATCTTCCGGGAGATGTCCAATTGCCATCAGCTTGACATGTTATGGAGGTACTACCTTCACTTGTAAACCCAGTATTACACTCCATCACACAGTTTGTATTGTTTTCTCTGGTACATGGTAACCATCTGCCGTTTGGAACTACAGGCGGCTGTTCACATTTTAGAGCTTCACTGACATTAGCTATAACATAAATTCATATCCCCATCATCAGCGCGGCTTAAAATAATCTCTACCTCTGAACAGTTTTAGCGCTTTTATTGAAAACAAATTAATTATACTATTCACAAATTATCGTAAAGAAAAAAATACAGTAGATATTGCTAGAAAAGACCATACCAAACCAGACTGCATTTATTAAACTATACTAGACTAATTTTAAACTACTCTCGGCTACACTCGATTACACTAAAATAAACTAGACGGAACAAAATAATATAATATTACATGGCGTACACTAGACTAGATGACTAGATGAGACTGGAAAAAATGCACTAATTATATTACTTTACTCTTGACTACACTTTACTAAACTACACTGCAATAAACAATCTTCTGTTCTTCTGCTGCGTTCTTAATTTAAGTTATTTTGGAGGATTTACTCAACAACTCCAACATCGTGTATAAACTGGACTTTGGTCTTTAGATCCATATCGTTTTTCATTGAGTGGGGTGAATAGGGTCTAGTGTTTGGATCGCGCCAGGCGATAAAGGAACTGACCGGAAGGACGTTCTCTGTATTATCCGTGGCCATGTCACGCTTTTCTTTCAAGTTATTTAAATAGTAGTCTATAATTTATTTTATACTTTTTAGTGCATTATTTCTTAAAATTCTTGTTATTAAAACGTTTTTTATGAAATTTTTTTAGTACTTTACATTATTTTATTTACGTGACTAAAAACCATTGCGCGCCTACTGAACGTGATGGCGCATCTATTGAACATGATGACGCGTGTGGTGTGGTTCGATCGAAATGCCTACTAATTCAGTCCAAATTTTCTTTAATTAATAAAAATATAATTAGAAATCCAATTAAGTCAAATTTAATTTCAGATTGCATTGTCTTCATATCTTGACCCACGTGCCAACTGTTAACCGTATCGGTCAAGTAGAAGTGTCTAATTTTCGCTCCGGCGTTTCAATCGAGACAGACAGACAGTGACAGTGAGTTAAATAAAAGCTTGTAAAAATACATTAAAAAACGTTTTAATATCAATCTTTTATGTAATAATGCACTAAAAAGTACATATTGTACATTTTACCATTGCATTTTCCATGAGATGTCCATGTGCCTCCAGGTTGACATGTTATGGAAGTACTACCTTCACTTGAAAACCCTGTATTACACACCATCACACATTCCGTATTGTATTCTCTGGTACATGGTAACCAGCTGCTATTTGCAACTGCAGGTGGCTGATCACATTTTGGAGCTGGAAATATATCAGCTATAAGATATTTTTATATTCTTATTGTTTTTACAATATTTAATTTGTTATTATTTCTATGTTAGTTATGATGGAACTAACGTAAAATAAACCGGGAGTGATTTCCCCTAAACTTTCTCGAATATTCTTATATAAAATAAAACGGGATGGGAACTCGGGCTATAGACATGATTATTAATCCATTTTAAATACTGAAAGTTTTAAAAATAGAATAAAATCTCGTAGACAAATTAATTGCACACCAAGTGAACGCCAAATAAAAAAGTGCATAATAGTGCGCAATATTATTAGTATTTTAAAATTTACATTTGTTTTTTGAGAAATCGGAAGTAGCGTAAATTACTACTTCCGGTCAACGGAAATTACTCAAAATTTAACAGAAGGTAGAGAATTAGATCTTTTATTTGCATGTGAAATTTAATTAATCTATCTGAAATAGTACTCAAGTTATAGGCTTTTGAAAAATTCAAAGTAGGAAAAGTACCACTTCCGGTTATCGGAAATCGCTCAAAAGTTAATACGGATCTACGATTTCGATAAAATACTTATATATGAAATTTCATTAACCTAGCTGTAACGGTACTCAAGTTATCGTGTTTACACACGGACAGACAGACAGACAGACAGACAGACACACAGACAGACAGACACACAGACATACGGACAAGATTGCAAAATTATGTTTTTCCGTATCAGTGAGGTGTAAAACGTCGAGATTTGTAAAAATCTCGATTTTTTTGTGCACGATTACAAGACTTTCTCTATACTTCGTATATATGAGAAAGTAAAAAATAGACCGATAGACTGTACGCCTATTTAGATTTAAAGAGAAAGTTTTTTGTTTTAATTTTTGTATGTCAGAAATATAATCAGCATAAGATAATATACCTAATTTTTCAAAAATTGATCTTATAAAAACTTTATTTTTTTCATTTTTTTTTTCTAAAACAGAACAGTTTAAAAATGACAAATATTTAGAATCACGCCAAGCGTCTAATCAAATTGTTTCGGTGTTTTTCAATTATAAAAGTATTGATTTCCATAACAATCCAAACCGATATATACAATAGACTTCAATGTATCATCGTAGAATAGTCTGAGCTACATAAAATTGCATTACACTAGGGTACATTGGACCATAATAGAGTAAGCTTAACTAAACTAGCCAACAATATTATACAGTAAACTTAACAAGTGAACACTGGATTACAGTAGACAACACTAAGCAATACTTAATTACTTTACACCATTACAGTGCAAAAGATTACATTAGCTTGAACGAAATTGTCCTGGACAAGACTAAATTAGACAACACTAGACAAGACTAGAATGAAATGGACCAATTGAAGAGCCCAGTGCTAAAAGTACTTAAGTCACATTTTTGTGAAAATCAAACCAAGCATTGATCGTTATTCCTCTAGTTTAACTTTATCTTATAAACAAATAGTGATACTGAAGAATTTATTTAAGTTGCTCCTCCAAACAAACAAATAATATAAAAACGTAATGTTTTATAGTAAATTTTAATCTTTGAACTCATTTTTCTCAAAATGTTGTTTTTGTGACTTAAGTACTTTTAGCACTAAGGTCTTCAATTACACTTAATTTACTATAGTAAACTAGAACACACCACACCATAATACTTAAAAATAACACTACACTACACTAAACTACAGTAAACTACAAAAGAAAAGCTGAAATCAATATACAAATATAAACAAATAGGCAGGCTCAAACATGAATAAACAACGACGAATACATGTATTTAATTAAAAAGAACAAAAATATGTGATCACACCCATATATTATATTATATTATATTATATTTTATATATACATACATATATATATATATATATATATATATATTTATATATATATATATATATGTATATATATATATATATATATATATATATATATATATATATATATATATATATATATACATACATATGGTACATTTTACCATTGCATCTTCCAGGAGATGTCCATGTGCCTCCAGGTTGACATGTTATGGAAGTATTACCTTCACTTGAAAACCCTGTATTACACACCATCACACATTCCGTATTGTATTCTCTGGTACATGGTAACCAGCTGCTATTTGCAACTGCAGGTGGCTGATCACATTTTAGAGCTGGAAATATATCAGCTATAAGATAGATTTATATTCTATTTTTTTTGTAATATTTAATTTGTTATTATTTCTATGTTAGTTATGATCGAACTAACGTAAATAAAATAATAGACCGATAGACTGTACGCCTATTTAGATTTAAAGACAACGTTTTTCCCTGTTTTAATTTTCGTATGTCAGAAATATAATCAGCAAAAGATAATATACCTAATTTTTCAAAAATTGATCTTATAAAAACTTTATTTTTTTCAATTTTTTTTCTAAAACAGAACAGTTTAAAAATGACAAATATTTAGAATCACGCCAAGCGTCTAATCAAATTGTTTCGGTGTTTTTCAATTATAAAAGTATTGATTTCCATAACAATCCAAACCGATATATACAATAGACTTCAATGTATCAACGTAGAATAGTCTGAGCTACATAAAATTGCATTACACTAGGGTACATTGGACCATACTAGAGTAAGCTTAACTAAACTAGCCAACAATATTATACAGTAAACTTAACTAGTGAACACTGGATTACAGTAGACAACACTAAGCAATACTTAATTACTTTACACCATTACAGTGCAAAAGATTACATTAGCTTGAACGAAATTGTCCTGGACAAGACTAAATTAGACAACACTAGACAAGACTAGAATGAAATGGACCAATTACACTTAATTTACTATAGTAAACTAGAACACACCACACCATAATACTTAAAAATAACACTACACTACACTAAACTACAGTACACCATACAAAAGAAAAGCTGAAATCAATATACAAATATAAACAAATAGGCAGGCTCAAACATGAATAAACAACGACGAATACATGTATTTAATTAAAAAGAACAAAAATATGTGATCACACCCATATATTATATTATATTATATTATATTTTATATATACATACATATATATATATATATATATTTATATATATATATATATATATATATATATATATATATATATATATATATATATATATATATATATATATATATATACATACATATGGTACATTTTACCATTGCATCTTCCAGGAGATGTCCATGTGCCTCCAGGTTGACATGTTATGGAAGTATTACCTTCACTTGAAAACCCTGTATTACACACCATCACACATTCCGTATTGTATTCTCTGGTACATGGTAACCAGCTGCTATTTGCAACTGCAGGTGGCTGATCACATTTTAGAGCTGGAAATATATCAGCTATAAGATAGATTTATATTCTATTTTTTTTGTAATATTTAATTTGTTATTATTTCTATGTTAGTTATGATCGAACTAACGTAAATAAAATAATAGACCGATAGACTGTACGCCTACTTAGATTTAAAGACAACGTTTTTCCCTGTTTTAATTTTCGTATGTCAGAAATATAATCAGCAAAAGATAATATACCTAATTTTTTAAAAACGGTTCTTATAAAAACTTTATTTTTTCAATTTTGTTCTAAAACAGAACAGTTTAAAAATGACAAACATTTAGAATCACTCCAAGCGTCTAATCAAATTGTTTCGGTGTTTTTTAGTTATAAATTTATTGATTTCCATAACAATCCAAACCGTAATATACAATAGACTTCAATGTATCATCGTAGAATAGTCTGAGCTACATAAAATTGCATTACACTAGGGTACATTGGACCACATTAGAGGAAGCTTAACTAAACAACAATATTATACAGTAAACTTAACTAGTGAACACTGGATTACAGTAGACAACACTAAGCAATACTTAATTACTTTACACCATTACAGTGCAAAAGATTACATTAGCTTGAACAAAATTGTCCTGGACAAGACTAAATTAGACAACACTAGACAAGACTAGAATGAAATGGACCAATTACACTTAATTTACTATAGTAAACTAGAACACACCACACCATAATACTTAAAAATAACACTACACTACACTAAACTACAGTACACAATACAAAAGAAAGGCTGAAATCAATATACAAATATAAACAAATAGGCAGGCTCAAACATGAATAAACAACGACGAATACATGTATCTAATTAAAAAGAACAAAAATATGTGATCACACCCATATATTATATTATATTATATTATATTATATTATATTATATTATATTATATTATATTATATTATATTATATTATATTATATTATATATATTATATTATATTATATT